GCACCTGTACAGCTGAAGTACATCAACTCACTTGCTACTCACTGACAGTGTTTTGGGACGAGTCTGCAAGCAATTGATTTATCATGGTCTCTGTGCAGTCAAGCTTCACTGCTAAGGTTAATCCATATTTGCAGCCGCTCCCCAGAGCCAGCATCACCGCCTGAGCTCCACCTCAGATCATCAGGCATTCGATCCTCATAAGGAGCGTGCAACCTAGATCCCTTGCACGCACAGTTCACGATAGCGTTCGTGCTCCTGTGAGAATCTAATGACAGGAGGAGGAGCTCAGGTGGTCATGCGAGCGCTGGAGAGCAGCTGTACATACAGATGAAGCTTTGCTGAACTACTTGCTCATCTCTCATCTCGTGTTGTGTGGCCTGGCTCCTGACAGGCTGGTCCATGGCCCGGGGCTTGGGGATCCCTGTCATAGTGCAAGGCTGGGAGTACTGTCTCCTAACATGCACAAAATATTCATCCCTCTTTAGGAAGAAGCCTCAGAGACACAGCTGTTTTTTAAATGGCTCTTTCCCACTCATATTTAAAGATAAGCCTTTATCAGTTTATCTCTAGGACATGTCTGGAAGGAAAAGCATCTCTGAGTAGGTCGAGCACTACAGGTTGGGGATGCTGATTGCTTTAAATATAACGGGAATCTTTTCTGAGGCACCAAATTTTTAAAGACGTGTTATATGAAACTGGTATGGAATCTTGTGATTTCTTTTCAGATTTTATCTTCATCATTCAATAAAATATTTCAACCTCATTCCCAGTCCAACACATTAAAAATGTTTGCTCCAATACAGCCCATTTTCATTTTATTTTATGCTGCAAAATAACGAGTCAAAGTATATTCTGACTTGCCAAACCAAGGAATTTTCACTACATATAACTTTATTACATTAAATGTTAGTAAATATTTGATTTGGTGTCTTATGAAATTAATAAAATTGCTTGATTTTTATATATGATTGTTAGTCAGTTATCCCCCAAAACTAAACAGCAAAATTCTATATACATGAGAATATATTTAAGGAACATTTGTTTTCTCATGTGCCTCACTCCACAGATAACTTATATATTTAGCTACACATTTCATTGGTTTATTTTTGTTATTTGGACACAATGAATCATATCAGAACTGAATCTTTTTACATTTCTCCTGCCTACCTTTAATAATATTCTCGAATTTATTTTTCAGTAGTTTTTATAGTATGCCTCAAAACATATATCAACATTTATTTGAACTGAAAGTGCAGTTAGATTTTATTCTGAGAGGAAATACACCGAGTTTTATTCGCTGGTTTGACAACAAGAATGTTTTTACCAACTAGGTAAAGATGATATAAACTGAATAGGCTAAATGTTCAGCACCAAGATTTTGATAAAAATGGATTTAAAATATGTGATGATAAAAGCATTTTATTAAAAAATTGTATCAGAAAACATTTATTGAAATGAATGTTTCCATTTTCCAAGTCCTTTTTGAGCAGATAAGATTAAACAGGTTGCCTGCAAATAAAAGAGTAACAGGTACGATTTAACAGTCATTTGTTAGGGCTTGCCTTTTTTGTTCTATTCCTCAGAAACTGAGAAATTACTCCATAACTGGGTGACAAATCATCTCATTACTCACTTTTGATAAAATTAAAGGAGTTACCCAAGCAAGGTGCCAGTTAATCAGTCATTAAAAATCACCTTGCGATTTCTGGCGCATAACTCAGAAGGAATTCAGAGTATTGGATGGCACTGCCACACCAACACTCCTTTCATTCACATCTACTTATTTATAAATATGAGCACAATTCTCAACACTAGACTCTATAAACTGGGGAAAAAAGAGCAGAAAAAATGATGCTGAATGCAGTCTCATTCTAAAACTAAGAACACTCAAAACTGGATACACGGACTAATTGAAAACAAGACAGCCTCATTTATCTCATTAGAATGCAGTTGCAAAAATTTACTTTTTGTATTTAGTAATTATCAACATCTGTAATGCATTTATTGCCCTGAGCAATTGTGTACTAAAATGAATGGTGATAACTCAATAGTTCAGGTCACATCACATGTTTAAAAATTAATTTAAATTAATATACTAAAATAGTTGCAAAGAAGTATAACAGAGTGATCAATACGTTGCTTTCAAACATAAAATATATTGCAGCAGGGAGAAATTTTATGGAGGAAATGGAGTGGGCATGAGAGTTCAAGAAGAAAAAGGAAATTAATTATCAATCAAAGGAGAACTTGCTTGTTCATTTATTAAAAGGACCATGGCAAGTATTCGTTTTTTTTTATTTTAAAGACATGGGGTACAATTCAGGGTTAGGTATACAAAAGATCATTATGCAGGTACCCTTGTTGATCTGCCCCTCCCTCCCCTGGCAGTTTCCCTCAACCCCAATCCCTTTCTTATAGTACTATGATAATTGTTCAATGTCCACTTCTGAGTGAGAACAAATGATACTCTGTTCTTGGTTTCTGTGATAGATCACTGTGTATTATTGACTCTAAATCCATCCAAGTTGCTGCGAAGTCCGTATGTTTGTCCTTCTTTATGGCTGCATAATATTCCATCGTTATATGTACCCCATTTTTTAAATCCTGTTCAGCTTCGATGGGCAGCATGGTTGGTTCCATGTTTTTGCTATTATGAATACAGCTGCAACAAACATGCGTGTGCAGGTATCTTTTTTGATAAAATGATCTGAGTTCCTCTGGGTATATTCCATGGTAAGTATTAATTTGCTAAGGCATTTGGAGTATCTTTGGTTATATTTTCAAGTTTTATTTTTAAATGTCAATACTTAGGATGAGCTAGAAGTTTAATCTTTTACAATTATTTAAATTTATGTTGAAAACTTGTGAGAACTTGAAAAATATACAAACCTAGACTCCCTAAGCACCTATTTGTTTTTTGGCTTTCATCTCAAATGTGTCCTTTTTTTAATTTTTAGAGACAGAGTCTTGCTCTGTCACCCAGGCTGGAGTGCAGTGGCATGATCACGGCTTACCGCAGGCTCTAACTCGTAGGTTTAAACAATCCTCCTGCCTCAGCCTCCCAAGTAGCAGCAATTACAGTCCCACACCACCACATCTGGCTAACTTTTTAAAAAATGTTGTCATAGAGATAGGGGTCTCACTATGTTGCCCAGGCTGGTCTTGAACTCCTGGGCTCAAGCAATCTTCCCACCTTCTCCTGTCAAAGTGCTGAGATTACAGGCATGAGTCACCACATTCAGCCTAAAAGTTTCTTCTTCACACAAAAGTTGCAGTCATATACTTCCATTACAGTCAGATGAGAGATCTCCCAGTTTAGGGAGATATATGATTCAGTGGGAGAGCCACAGACTCTGGAATTTGGAATCTTTTTGCTTTGTACTTTTTGGAAGTCTATTATATATTTTGTTGGGGAAAAGTTAATGAAAAATTGAAAGGTACCTATAGAAACCTAGAAGAAACTTAGCTTATTCTTAGCCTTTTTGCCTCCGTGTAGCGATTAGCAAGCATTCAGACACTCTGCTGCAGGATAAACAGCAGCCTATCCATCCCCTTTGTGATGACCTGAAGCAGACCACCACCCAATCACCTGATGATCTTCCCCCATCAAGTGGAAGGGTTAAAAGGACTCAGCCACAAGCAATCAGGGGCCATTGCATTGCTAGACTCTGGTGTGACCATGTGCTTTCTGAGCCATGGCTGTCGCCATGCTTCCTGGCTTTGGTTCCCCTCCCCCACCTTGGGGAGGTGAATCTTTTCTCTTCCTTCTCTTTCTCTCTTTAATTTACTTTTAAATAAACTTTTCTTAACCATTTTGTGTGTCACAATTCCTTGCAATTTACTCGAATCTCTGGGTTCCCAGCGCAGCACCTCCGGTTTGCCAGCCCCGGCAATGCTGCACGCCTCCCTGTGCCACTTCACCCTCACCCGGTCCATCTGTACCCTAACAAAAATGACTAACTCCTTCGTGCTAGTCACTGTTGTAATGCTTTGATGGTGTCCTTGAAACGGCCACCTTAGGCAGGGATTATCATTCCCATTTTACCAATGACAAAACTGGGTCCCAGATGGCCCGTGACTCACCCAAGGTAGCAGAGATCATAGGTTTGAGCAGGAAGCTGGGGATAGACCCCGTTTCTGCCTGACTTCCCAGCCTGGTCTTCCCCATCCCCCATTCTCCTTCTCAGTAACTTGACCATTTGAGATGAAAGGAGCCGAGAGGGTTGCCTGAGCCTGCAGGTTCGAGATCAGCCTGGGCAATGTGGTGAGAATTCGTCTCCACAATAAATCAAAAAATTAGCCGTGTGTAGTGGTATGCATGTGTAGTCTAGCTACTTGGGAGGCTGAGGTGGAAGGACAGCCTGAGCCCAGCAGGGCGAGGCTGCAGTGGCCATAAGCGGACCACTGCACTCCAGCCTGGGTGGCAGAGCGAGACTCTGACTAAAAAAAGAAAAAAGAAAAAAAGAAAAGAACTTCCTACTGGAAACTATTCACTGAGTGAACCGGGCAATAGAAGGCTTTCTACGAATTTCACACCTCCTCCCACTCTCCATTACCTACTGATGAGCTCAGAAAGACAGCTGAGAAATCCTATCACCCTCTGCTCACTGGATCTGGAGGAACAGCTGCAAGCCAACACCGCAGGGTCTGAAGAAGTTGGGGTGAAGACAGGGGCTGAATTCATTCATCTACTCATCCAGTCAACTCAATGGTCATTGTCTGCCTCTTGTATATTAGGTCGTGGATTCAAGTCCACGAATCCACAATCCTATTAACCTGTATTCTGAGTCTATTATAAACCACAATACGCAATAACTTTTTAAAGCACCAGTATGCAGTTTTCTTGGATTTTCTGTTGGGGGTTTTTGATTCAATAGGCCCGACCCAATGCATTTTATGAACCTTCTCTAATGCCTTTATCTGTTTGGGATTCTGCACAATATTAGTAAGTAAGTGGACAAATTAAAATGTATATCAAACCCATTCAAACAAGGATCTACCGAATCAAAGCAGGTGCCGCTCCTGTCTTGGGCGTGTATGCAGTCTTCATCGTGGTAGCATAGGAGTCCCAGTTGGTGTCACCTGCTGAAAGTACAGTGAAGAAGCTTTACATGTGGCTAACCAGAATCTTGCTTTAGCAATTAAAGTAATTTTGCAAGAGGGAAAACACATGGGATAACCATTCAACTTTAGAGTCTAAAGGAATAAAGGCCAACCTGAGGTCTTTAAGAAGAAAGAGGGGAAGCTCAACTTAATTATCTGGGTTCTCCCCAAATAAAAAATAGGTCTATTGGTTTTCCTGAGCATTCATGCATGCTATTTTATTTTATTTTTTAAAATTTTTTCTTTTAAATATGGGGGAGACCGCCCACAGACTGGGAAAAAATATTTGCCAACTCCATGTCTGACAAAGTCCTAACATCAAGGATCTACAAGGAACTCAAATGTGCTGAAAAGAAAAAAAACAAAAAGCCCCATTACAAAGTGGGCAAAAGATATGAATAGACACTTCTCAAAAGGAGACATATGAGCAGCCAACAGATACATGAAAAAATGTTCAGCCTCACTAGTCATTAAGGAGATGCAAATTAAAACTACACTGAGATACCACCTAATTCCAGTCAGGGTGGCCATCAGCAATAACTCCAAAAATAACAGATGCTGAATGTGGCCAGTATCAATAACTCCAAAAATAACAGATGTGGAGGAAAGGGAACACTTCTACACTGCTGGTGGGAGTGTAAACTTGTACCAGCCTCTGTGGAAAACAGCGTGGCTTGATTCCTAAAAGTTCTAAAAATCGACCTTCCATATGACCCCATAATCCTCCTACTAGGAATATACCCGGAAGAACTCACATCACTCTATAAAAAATATACCTGCACACGTATGTTTATCGCAGCATTGTTCACTATAGCAAGAACATGGAACCAACCATGCTGCCCATCAAAAGAGGACTGGGTTAAAAAATGTGGTTCATAAACACAATGGAATATTACACAGCCATTAAAAAGAACAAAGTCATGAATTTTGCAGCAACCTGGATGGAATTAGAGTTTATAATACTGAGTGATCTTTCACAGAACCAAAGATCTGAGTATCGCATGTTCTCACTCATAAGTGGAACTTAAACAACTACCGTAATACTATAAGAAAAAGATTGACAGTAGTGGGAAACTACCGGGGTTGAGGGGGAAGTGTGATTAACAGTAGTAGATATCTGCCGGGGGGGGGGCACACCTCATCAATAAGGGTACCTGTACAATGAATATTTGTATACCTAACCCTGAATTGTACCCCACAATTTTAAAATTAAAAAAAAAATGTATAGCCGGGCTTGGTGGCTCAGCCTGTAATCCCACACCTTGGGAGGCTGAGGTGAGTGGATTGCCTGAGCCCGTAGGTTCGAGACCCGCCTGGGCAACGAGACTTCATCTCTACAATAAACCAAAATATCAGCCGGGCGTGGTAGCGCACGCCTGTAATTCCGGCTACTTGGAAGGCTGAG